GTTTATGCTAAACACTTTCGTCCAACCTATTAGTATCTGAAGTTTGGTGAGGCTTCATCAGACTTCTCACCACTTATTAAGCGATGTTATATCAATGTTTTCCGAACATCAATGTTAGGATATCTAAAATGTAAAAACTAAATTAGTTTGTTGTGGTTCACCCACTAAATGTAGTTGAATTACCTCAGTAAGGGTTTTGAGGTTATGACTCGAATTGTCCAACGTTTGCAAACCTGAGTTTGAATCATTTCGGTAGTAATATTGTGGCGAACCTGGTGAATTGGCCGTAATCGCTGCTACACTCTTTTTTTATTAAAATCTCAAAACGTTTTGTCGAATTAATAAGGTCTTCATGATCAAAACTTTGGAGTCTCACGTTGGACCGGTGTTTGTCGCTATTCAAGCGGAATACTTCATGGCCTTTGTCGCAAGAGTCGAGCTTTTAACCTAACCTAATCCACACGATCATACAGCTATTCGGAGAAATTTTTAACACTTATTTTTTAATAAAAAAAATAACCACCCTAATGTACATGCAAACTGTCTCATTATATATTTAAAACAAAACATTTGCAAAACAGTTTAGACATATGAAAGGCTGGCAGAAATCCCTTTCCGATCCATCATATCATTTTGTATTTCTCAAACGACAAAAGAATCACCACCAAAACAAATCAAAGCAATCTTCTGAATAGTTAATACGCACTCTTTGCATGAATGATTTTTGAGCGACATAATGCCACTACAGTGGGTTATTTGTGTTCAAAAGTGTCTTAGTAAAATACAATTACAAGCAGGATGGAAAATTCAAGATATATACATATGTATATATAGAAGATCTGACTGATCATTTAGTGTGTTCCTCGTTAAATAAATAACCGCACTTTCGATGCTTAGAAGAAAACTAACGAACATTTGTGTCAACAAGACCTTAAGGACACCATGAAACTCCTAACATATCTATAGTGACTGACTTTTTATCAGATTCAATTCATATTGATTATTTTCCCTTAGAGAAAGATTTGTGTTGAATAGAAGCGGCTTGAGTCAAAACAAAATATCCAACTTAAAAACCTAATGTAAGTCACTCTGTTTGTATGACCAAAGTATGGAATGTTAGTCCTCTATCCATTAAATGTAATTTTTACTTTTCACAAAATATAATCTAATGCCATATAAAGGCAAAAATCCAGTGGTACCATCGCCTTTGGTAACTTGCCTAACCGGGAATCATGCAATAGACACACTACGGATCAGAATTAGTACGACAAAGTACTAATCATTGTTCGGAGGCGACTACAGGACACTTCAATTTTAACTCAAGGCTCGCTCTTTCAAACAAGACAAAACAATTAAAGATATCTCTCTTTCCATTCGCTTTTTTTTCAAAAAAGGCGTATACCTGAAATTCCTTTTGAATCAATATAAAAAACAACATTCACTGTGCAAAAACAAAAAAAAAATTATGCACAACGTCAATGCACACAATTGTACACACTAACAACTCGTGCCACCTATGAAAAAAAACCAAACAATTGCTGTACTCAACCGCTCACGATTCACTGCATTGCAAATATATGCATATATGCAAAAGAAAATATAATACATATACGTATGTATATGCGTGCGTACATGAATGTATACGACGACATTTATTTGCTCGTGCACAGTTATTTATTTAAATGAAAACTTTAAGATGTAACAGGAGTGAAATGTGCCGTTTATTTTTCCAGCCTTGCAAATCATCGTGTTTGCTTCGGCAAATCTTACATCTGCCATCCAATGTTATAAGCTTAAGCGGTCCTTGGAAGCTTTGACGTGGCAGTCATTTTTAATTTCTTTTATTTGTATACCCTTAACGGCTGATAACAAGTTTGCCACGGAGTTTGTGACACCCAGAAAGAAACCTCTGAGACCTTATAAACGGTAAAGTGACATTGAAACTCGGGAAAGGCGTAAAAAAATATTTTGTCGTACCACTTTCTACTGCTTGTGGTCTTTTTGAGTTGATTCAACCAGATTTTTGAGCACATTCAAAGTAATCTTGTTCCCTCCTCTTCTCGTAATGCATTCTCCAACTGGTGATTCGATGTGCACATCCCGTTGCTGGTCTAGCGGCGTAATTCGTCCCTCAAAGTACATTAAGGAAAGGCCTGTGTGGAGGAGTTTTGATAACTGATAGACAGTTATACAACAACCAATTTGTACGTCCAGATCTAAACTGAAAACGTACAAAATACAGATTGTGCAGGAACTGAAGCCACCCGACCTTCCCAAGCGTCATCGCTTCGCTTTATGTGCTCTTAAAAAGTTCCACGATATCCAGCGTTTTCGAGTCACATTTTTATAGTCCAAGGCAGCAAGGTAGCATGTAGCTGTCATTCAAACTGACCAATCAAGTTGTGCGGCGATATCAAGATAAAGACTATTTTCTTTATTAAGTGAGCATAATTCGGGTACGTTTTCTTTAGTTATATGGTATACACATAATATGCTCATTTACTTCAATAGTGTCATAACTCAAAAAACGCATTTTTTCAGGAGAGCAATTTTTAGTTTTCAGCTTTCTTATGTGGGTTAAATAAAAGCTAAGATCGCAGATTTTCTATGCAAACTTGTGATATGTCATGTGTAGTATACATTATAGAAGAAATTCGACCGAAATTAATGGTTTCCCAATTTTTTCTTGAACAAAAACTTTTCTGCTTTGAATTATGTCAATGTTTCTGAAAAAACATAGAAATTTCTCGGTTATAAACTAAATGTGTCA